GGAAGAAAAATTAGACTTTGGTAATGATGAATTCTTGCCGGCAAATTCTGCTTCATCTTTTGAACACTAATGGAATATTACTCAGTTCTAAACTAAGTAAAACTTACAGTTCTCTGTCCAGGAACAATTCGTGTGACAGAAGCCAATTTAATAGCCCTCTCTTTCTTATGAGAAAACCAAACCAGTGTTGTCTCGTCCTGTGAATGCTTAATAATATCAGGAATTTTTTATAAACATATATTACAAAAAGTAAATTTGTAAAATGAAACAACTAAAGGCCGAAGAAGTAGATGAGAAAAATTACAGAACACACAAATATACATGTGTGTCAAAATATCTAAAACATCATCTTATCTTAATCAGAACAGTAAACTTCACTTAACTTTCATATTTCTATTTAGTTGTAATTAAATCTTAGATGCCAATTATAAACGCTAAGTAGAATGTGGATAACTACATACGATGAGAAAAACATAATACTGGCAACATACCTGAACAAAGCACAACGAATAAATTTGATACTGTAGTATGTCTAAGGTTCTCATGCTATTGGCCACAAGTTTAAAATCATAATTGAAATCAGGCTAAAGTGGATGATTTAACAGTTTAATCCAAAAATAGTAATAAAATCTAGTCATCGTGGATGTAGCTCAGTTTCCTTACAAGTTCCAGAATTTTGAAATTGACTTCCATGCAAACTCCTCATAAGATTAGGGTCATTTATGATACCTTTATTGCTTCCATAAATCTTTACATAGCTTTTAGGATAGGAGTCTTACAATGCTTTGTAAATTATTTATTTTTTTTCTTTTCTATTGCCACTTCTCGAATTGGTGAATCATTTTCACTAGATGTTTATGCCTTCTAAATACAATTTGCTTCTTGTGTCAGAACTTGTAATTATGATGGTAACTGATGGCTGCTATCAAGTCTATGAATCTAAATTGCTTTCATTATTTGAAATTTTCGGTTTTGAGCAAATATACAGACACCAATATGGTTGACATGATAAGTGGCCATGAATATTTAAAATAAATAATAGAATATTTTGATTTCATATAGTCTATGTAGCCAAACTCATGTGGATGAGACAAGGCTTCTATATGGGAGTCGATGTTATCATTGAGCAGGTATCCTCTAATGGCTCCTACTTTGAGCTTGCATCACTTAAAATGTGAAGGATAAGGGTTCAGATTTTTTTTTTTTGTATCTTTTTTAGTGAAAGTTAATTATATGCATATAGTTTTCTGGCAATTAATTTTATTTTTGTATAAAGTTGAATTGAAAATAAAGAGTTGCTTTGTTTTCCTTTGGTTTCTGCCCAAAACATGATTCTCTTTTTCTGATTTCCTAAAACCTAGAAGATTATGATGCCTTCTACCATCCAACAGGAATCAAAACATAGATGAAAGAAAAAGATAATGACTGAAATCAGTAATTTTGATGATAAATATTATTGATGCTAAACTAGTATATAGTGCTTATTTTTCTTTTAACTACGGTTGAATCCAACTAAGTATTTTCATATATCGGTGGAGATACTATAGTAATGTGAGAGTCACAAATACTGTAAATTTGTTTCTGATGTCTATATACCTATATAGTAATAGGCAAATAATATAAGAACTACAATTGACCCTCCAGATTATGTACAAAAGGATGAATGCAAGGATTTTCAGCTTAGTCTAAAATTAATAATAATACATATTTTCCGTAAAACTTCAGCATCCAATTATTGGCAAGGTTTGGGATACAGAGCCCAAACTCCATTTCATAAAGTTCTTGTACAAAAACATAACTTGATAAAAATAAATAAATATCAGGAATAAGACATAACATGATAGTACAGTAACTCACACTAGAAATTCTGAAGGGGCAGAGTTTAGGCTTTCCTTTCCGATTATACTTAATTAATTGGGTGCCTTTCTTCAATGCAACGAGTGCCTTAAAAAAAAAAACTTATGAATAAGAAAGTAACATTCCTATCAAGACATCTTTTTTTAGAAATGACTGCAATACAGATCTAAGGAAATAGAATTTTCAAAACATCATGGATGAATCATGTAAAAATCAATCAAAAAAGGTAAATTTTACAGAATTAAATCAGTTATGATCTTAATTATACATATTCTTCTTTAATAATTCGTACCAAAAGCAACAGTTAGGCTCCTATTGGCATATACTTGTTATTTAAATATAAAATCAAGGCACAAAATACTCTTTTCATAAAACTTCTCAATCCGTGCATTATATCTCCAACATAAGGCAAGATTTAAAATCATTATTTCGCTAAATACAATAACGTCAATTTACCACCAAGTCGGTGCAATAGAAGATAGAATAAACCAACACAACCTTGGCTTGCAAATATTTCAACTTTAAAACAAAATAACAAAATATCAACAAAGAAATTGTAGCAGCCTACAAAATTGGGATAGCAAATATTGTTTTGAGATGTAGCAATGTTATGAAAAAAATGGTTCCAGAGCTACATCATTTATGTGCTCTTTGTTAACCTAAAGATTCAATGCATCTACCATATACATAAACGTGGAAATATTTATTTGTTCATATTATGCTTCTGTTGGAATGCATCTCCCACAATCTTTCAGGGAAAAAGGTTTAGGATCTAGAAAATCTAGGTGGATCCAATATATCAAAAAAATTGGATGAAACTTATATATGTAAATGACTAGCACCAAACATCACATGTTCTAACATGTCTTACACTTTTTGTACTACTCCAGCTCTAACATCAACCTTTAGATGATAGCTGTGATCATCAATTGCAGTTAGACCTGGATATGTATTTGTATCCTATCTACAGCTTTGATGTTGTATCATATGCAGTGAATTGAGTCATTGCTCCCCTTCCATCAAATAGTAATAATTACTATGATGACAATTATTGTTGTCGTACTACACACTCTTGTCTCTTCAAAATATCAATTACCTGTGAAGAATGGATGATATTCATATAGTTTTTACTTACATGTGTTTCTAGCATAAGAAATCTGGTGGAGCGATTCATCCACATAATTTATCCAACAAAAATAAGTAATTCAAATTTTATTTATCAAAAATGAGCTGTTGATGTACTACAAATAGATTAAAGATACAAAAAGATGCTTAGCACAGCTTAGTAAAAGCCTTATTGATGCAAAGAATTCAGATGTCAAAGTTCCACACAACAGATCATCCCTATTTGGTTAACATCGAAAAAAGTATTTATTTTTCTAAATTACTAATTACTTAGGGGGACAAGCATGACAATGAGGAACATTAACACTTTGGAAGTATAATTAACTATTTGATAAAGCCAGATGATCTTGCACCGACACCCAATTAGCATTCAGCTAGCTCTCAGAAGAAGAGGAGGACTAGGATTCTAATGAGAAGCTAGATGCATAAAGTATTTTATTCTAATTCTAAACGCATGCTATTTAAACAACTTTCGAAAAATAAAAAGAGGAAGGAGTAACTCTATAATTGTGATGTTTATTATAGTAACTGAGAAATCTTAAATGGACCCAAAAATATGACGACTATGTGGAGCATACCATAATGAAGCATATGAACAATGTCTAGACATAACCTATTGAGAGGAAAAGAAAAACAGAACAAAGGAACCACCTCCATGAAGACCTAGAATTATTATTATTATTATTATTATTATTATTATTATTATTATTAAGGTGTAGTAGAAAAGTTTCAAAGAAAACAAGCTAATATGTGAGAAAACAGGCTATTCTTCATTAAGACATTAAGAAACTGAAGAAATGAACAGAACTATCAATCCAGCCATGGTTAAACTTTGGATGCAGAATATATCATTCATCGATTATATCATTCATCGATCTCTCTTTTGCCTGGCGTCAATTTTTCAACATCTGATCTCATAGTTGACATATACCAAAACTAACATAGTGCTATTTTTTCACACACATTGATGCATCCCGGAATCGTGAACGAAGAAAATAAAATTATTTTCGTTGATATTATCTTCATAAACCAAAGATTCATTACATCGAAACAACACAAGAAGCAAGCGAATAATAATAAGATTAAAATTAAAATAAATACTAAAGGTGCCCACCGGAAGGGATTGAAAATGGCTAGAATTCAATCTACAAAACCTACCTGTTGTATGTCACGGTCGGGGTTCCCATAATTGGCCGGATCTGCCATTCCATCTGAGAGGATAGTCGGGTAGAATTAGGAAGCGGAGCATCAGAAGCAGCATTCCTCGGCAACAACCACGTCTCCATCGATGAGAAGATGATGATTTGCCTCCCAGCCCACGCCAGCGCCGACGCCTTCACCTAACATCAATCAAACCCCTATCGTTCCTCCTCCGATTCTTCCTCGAGAAGGCCCCGCAGCCGCTGCCGCTCCTTCTCCGATCTCATCACCCCTGATCAATCACCGCCGAGGAGGGTAAAGAAGAAAGGATAGAAAGATGAGAGAGGCTCCACCTTCAAAACCACCGGTCGATCCGTGGCCTCCTCCCTTCTCTCGGACTCATAACGAAAGAAAGAAGAATGACGTCAAATGATGTAAAGATTTAGGGGAATGGTGGACGAGCGTACGTTGAATTGGTTGGATCAACAAGACAGATGGGAGAGAGAGAGAGAGAGAGAGAGGAAGAGGGGGGCAAAAGATTCTCTTTTTGTGTTTTTGGCTTCCTTCTTTGTTCGTCCGCTCGTTGTGGGAAAATTTTAAGGTGGAGACCCGAATCCCGAGTTTGGCGAGCACGAGTCAGAATGGACGGTCGATCCCGTCTCACATCGCAAAGTCTCTACGGATGGCAGCGCCATTTCGTTGCGGGGTTTCATCAACGAAATATACCTCCGGTTAATTGACTGATGCACACATCTCCATAGCTTAATATTTCTTCTTTTTTGTTCTGCCATCGAACACTAATAGAGCCTTACGTATTCCTTTTGTTTTTTTTTTCAGTATATAGCTATGGATAATTGTTATTGCTGCTGCTGCTGTTGTTATATAGTTTCGGATAATAACTAGTGTTGGAGGTGCCAGAAATATGAACAGGGAATCTTTTCCTTGACCACATCAAGACATCCTGAGGTCGACGAGACCAGCAGTAGAGCAAATACATGGCACCCCCCCCCCCATGAGCGGCCTTGGAATCTGTCTTCTCCAAATGCTGCAACCACGCAAATTTTCTACCGACCGACTTGCGCTCCTCTTCTATATAACAACCCATCCTTTTTGTCTTCTAAGGCTGGCCTTTCTCGTTTTGCTGCAATTTTGTTCTCTCGTGCTTCTGCAGGTTATTACTTCACCTGCGACTTCTTCTTTCATGGCTACGTCGTCGACAGGGGATGCGCCGCCGCGAACAGATGCCGCCAACCTCGCCATCGTCGTGGAGAGAGACCCACCCAAGTGTCGCTTGTTAGAGCTGGGAATCAGGTCATGGCCCAAGTGAGCACACAACTCCACCGTCAAGCTCATCTTGGGGTCGATGTTGTTTCTGAGGGATAAATAGCTCATCGTATCGCTGTTATATAGGTGGGGTTGCTCTCCGGGCAGGTATCTTCTCAGGTTTGATGCACAAGAGACGTGCTATCTTCTCAAAGGGAAGGTGAAAACCTACAGCGAGGGTTCGTCTCAGTGCGTGGAGACCTTGTTGTGATTCCTAAAGGAGTCAGCTCCACCTGGGATATCATAGTAGCTATCGATAAGCACTATAAGCTTGATTCTTGTTAGAATTCCCACGAAGCTGACACCTTGTACTGATGTTTAGTTAGTATCGACTTAGAAGAAGTTGTCTTCCATCGTCTTCATCCTTCATGTGAGTTGGTCTCGGTTGTACTTTTTTAACAGTTCCAATGACTAGATCCCACTACAGAAAGACGAGCTAACGCAACGTAGGACATTTGGTTTTCTGGGAGGAAGAAAACAAGTTAAAAAAACATAGACCATTGTGATTGGGTGAGTCAACAATATAATGCATACTTTCCCTATCACCATACATTTCGATTCTCTTTCATATGTTACAAATGGGGAATCAAGAAGCTTTCAAATTCTATCAAGCACAACAAATCATTGTGAATAGTAACTGTACTAAAGTTTCAAGACCATAATACATCCAACAATTACAGAGATTTTTATGAAGGGTTAAAAGACGTTCTATCCTCGCAAGTTTTTGCTGCTCATTAGCTTATGCCTGTATAGGGAGCACAACCTTCCTTTCCAAAAAAAGAAAGAAAGAGGTATATATATATATTAGTCAAAGGCTTGATGGTTCGATCATCTAAGGGCAGTGCTTCTAAGCCAAAAACTTACATGTTTTACAACCGTAAAAGTTAGATTCTCATCACTTCTTTTGATCCTTGGTCTACAGTCTAGGAGCAATTGTCATAGTCTTCAGTTCCTGTAACATCAGCTTAAATGCAAATGGAATGTGCACCTATGTCCAATTACAAATGACAATATTTCATTACATGTTAGCGATGTTATCATTTCAAAAAATCGAGGCATGACATATCAAAATAATAGAACGGATGGATGTATGCATGGCATTTTATGTTCGACGGAAGCAAGGGATCAAAACAAGATTGCACGATGACGGGAGTGGCTTGGTAATTATCATTAGGTATGTCTGAAAGTATTACAAAATGTTATTCTGAATAAATAAGCATATATTTGTTGTTGGATAAGCTCTTAAACTGCCAACCACGTTGGAAGAGAGAGAACACTAAAAGAAGATGGAAAAATGTTACCTGAACAATGTCAATTTTATTCTTGCAACCTTTGCACTCGAAAGAACTCGTCTGAAGATTGGCAATAGCTATGAGACCACACATGAATCCTGTAAGCATCGCTCTGGTTGAACAGCCGCTCCTTGAGCCAATGTGCAGCACCATGAGCAATCTAGCAATCTCGCCAAATCGAAGCCCACCATATCGATATCGCCCTTGGGCTAGCTGTCTGGTGAGGATGTCAATAGGGCCACGACTCCTTGATTGGATCATATCATCAACCTTGTGCTTCAGTCTCATAAATATCATGGCAGGATGACTCAGAAGAGGGAAACCATTTTTTTCCTAAATAAATTCAAGAGAAAAGATCATTCGATTCAAGTTGATAGATCGCACGGCAAGAAGCGACAGAGCACGATGTTCCTAATCAATCGACCAAGAAACAGATGTACTTATCAATCACGACCACTTCCAATCAACGAGGAAAAGAGAGGGGGACCTCGTCAGAGTCGAGCTTGCGGCCAAGGTGGTGCTGGCGTTCGGGGCGTATCTCGATGTCGGTGGACTCGTCCACGATCTCTTGCATGGTGTTCTCGATGAACTCATCAAAGGAGTCGAGCTGGTGGTGCACGAAATTATTCTAATTAGATGGGAAGGAATTGATAAAAATACTAAGACTAAGACTCATCAAAAAAAAAAAATTGATTAGATGAGAATGAATCGAAATTATTCTACCATATTAAATCTAGAACCTTGGTTCTTCCTAGAATTTGTGTTACCTTTTGATGCATATAAGATTAAATCGTGGATTATACTAATCAAATTACTTCTTTCTAATATTTATTATGAAAATGATATTAGTAAAAATTAAAATAAAAAAAATATTAGTAAAAATCAAAATAAAAAATATTAATAAAAAATCAAAATAAAAAAATATTAGTAAAAATCAAAATAAAAAATAGTAAAAATAAAAATAAAAAATAATAGTAAATATCAAAATCAATAAAATATTAGTAAATATGAAAACAAAATAATAATAGTAAAAATCAAAACATCAATGATTTCATTAAAATAGAATTTCAAAATTCCAAGAAAAAGAGGGTCAATAAAATCGTTTACCAAATCTACAAAAACAAAACCAAAATAAATATCTTGAAGAGGATTACACAAGATCAAACATTAAAAAAGATAATAAAAAAAAACAATCCAAGAAAAATAAGGAAAGAAAACTATATTTGTTCCTTAAAAAATATTTTATTTTTCAATTAAGATGGGATGACCCCTTGAATCAAAAAATTATTAATAATGTTAGGATATATTGTCTCCTACTTAGATTGATAAATATAATTTATAAATGGGGATCAAGATCATTATAATTTCTTTGTTCCTGAAAATATTCTATCTCCTAGACGTCGTAGAGAATTGAGAATTCTAATTTGTTTCAACTCTCATAATCGGGATATTGTGAATAGAAATCCAGTATTTTGCAACGAAAACAACATAAGAAACTCTGAACAATTTTTGAATGAGGACAAACGTCTTAATACGGATTTAAATAAATTAATTAAATGCAAATTGTTTCTTTGGCCCAATTACCGATTAGAAGATTTAGCTTGTATGAATCGCTATTGGTTTGATACCAATAATGGTAGTCGTTTCAGTATGTCAAGGATACGTATGTATCCACGATTCAGAATTATTTAATAGTATATTTCCTATATATCACATGCCGTTTTCAGTAAATAAAAACCGAAAGATGTACGCATATGGTGTGTTTTTAGGTGCAAAGAAATCATTCTCTTTCGTAAATGCAGAAATATATTATCCTTTTCTTTTCTATCTAAATCAAATGGAAAATTTGATTTAGATAGAAACGGATAAATCTAAATTTTGCAGCACATCATAGCTCACTGTAAAATACCAAAATAGATCAATTTTGATTAAATGACAATACAAGGGGCGAGTGAAGCACGATCCATGACTTCATGCAATGGGAGTTTTAAAGAGTGCTGAGATGAATGATATTTGTTATTCTATGCTACAGTCATTAGATCACACGAGAAATATCAATTCTTTCCTATCTGAAAAGAAACATAATCTTACAGTTTATTTAGACAACACGATCACGGGACCTATCCTTTTATTAAAGACAAGATAAAGTATTATTGTATGACACGAGGAATATTTGATTCCAAATCAAGGCATAAGAAAATTAATAAGTCTGGAATGAATAAATGGAAAAACTGGTTAAAGGGTCATTATCAATATAATTTTTCTCGAAGAAAATATCTCGATTAGTACTGAAAAATGGCAAAATAGAGTCAATCAACGTTGTACTATTCAAAATAAAGAATCAATGAAATTGTATTCATATAAAAAAGAAAAAGACCGATTAATTCATTACATGAATGAAAATTTTTGTGCAGTGGATTTATCGATGAGTCAAAAAGAAAAATTTAAAAAACACTACAGATATGATCTTTTATCACATGAATATATAAATTATGGGGATAGTAAGGACTCATACACACTGAAACCCGAATTGCCTCGGGTTCCTAATATAAGGGCTCGAGGTACATCTTTGTGTTGTGGGTGATCGGGCGACTTGACTCCCTCTCCTTTGTCTACTATAGTGAGCCTTCTTTCTGGGCCGCATGACCCGGGGCATGTCTGTCGTAGCACGCTTCCTCGCTGGGGTGTCATGTTTGACCGAGGTGTATGATTCAAACATCGTTGGATCAAGGTGCATGGCTTGAGCACTTGTTCGCCATAGCAGGTTTTTTGGTTGAGGTTTATGACTTGGGCACAAGATTGGTTGGTTGAGGCAGGGCTCAGTCTAATCCCTTGGGATATGGTATTGAGGTATCATTCAAGTAATATATAGATATCAATTATATTATTACGGACTTAGCTAGAATTATCCAAGTCGTATGCCATTCTTACATTATCCATTCGCAAAGGGTCAACCCAAGAATAACCTCGTACAGGTTCAAATAATCTATAAAAGAAAGTTGATCAGCTTAAGAAATTGAACGATAAATAAGTCTCGACGTCTCATAAAAGATGGTAGCTTGTAAGTAACTCAACAAAAACTTATGTAAGAGAGAAAAGAGAGGAAGAGAAAAATAAGAACTTTATAACATTAAAAAAAAAACTTATGCAAGAGAGAAAAGAGAGGAAGAGAAAAATAAAAACTTCATAAGGTAAAATAATAATCACAATACCACAAATTATATACAAGCGAACTTGTGTATCCAAAAAGCACCCACCACTATCCCAAGGCCCCATCTAGTCCTATGCCACCTGGATAGTTCAAGGGAACTGAGATGACTAATGTTTCCCACCGAACCATAGCCTCTAGAAGATAGACAATGGCATGTGAAATTTTGATAATTTTAGGATAATTTTGCCCAATCTGATGATCAGTCACTATGTAGCTTGCAAACTTAAGGTAAAACATATTGTCAAACAATCGTACAAGCAAACATAAGTGACAAATGATTCGTTGATAAATGCATTGCAAGAGTGCTATCATAGACTTAGTTAGAATTACCTATATCATAAGGTATCCTCGCATTATCCGTCTGCAAAAGTCAGCCAAGATACAACCTCATATAGGTCCTAAAAAAAAATTGATTAGCTTAAGCGAATGCGCGATAGACAAGTTTTAACATCTCATAAAAGATATTTATAAGTAATTAAATAAATACTTAGTGTATAAGAGAAAAAAAAAGAAAGAAAACAAGGCGTAGAAGGGCTCATTTGCTGAACAAGCTCTTGTGCAATAAATATCCCGCATCGATTTGGGACAAATGCCAATTAGGGTGGTGACAAAAGAATGTGTGTGGATTCATTGTTAAGATGAGCATGAGAGAGAGAGAGAGAGAGAGAGCTAAATTTGCTGCCTCAACCTAAAAAAGTTGTGGATGTGTTTGCTCCATCTATGGGGTGTGAGCTAAATTTAGATAAAGATTAAGGAATGGATCTATATAAGTCTTCCTTTGCTTCGTTCTTGTTCCTTGCTCGTTTGCTCCCCCAATCAGCCATAGAGGTGAGACGGTCGAGAGCTAACAGAAGGGGAAGGGGAAGAACAGGGGGGATGGCAGAAGCGCACCGCACCCTCTTGCTCCTGGTGGTCGCCATGAGTTGCCTTGTGACAGTGTCACAAGCCCACCAAAAGATCCACATCGTCGGAGGCAGCTATGGGTGGAAGATCCCACCCAACAAGACATTCTATGAGGAATGGGCTAATAAACAGAGCTTCTTCGTGGGGGATAAGCTCAGTTCGTATCAATATACTCTTTTAATTAGAAGATATTCTCATTACATTGAACGTCGTACAACACGAAGACATCCATTTCACTATCTTAATTAGCTTAAAATGCTCATCTTATTTAGTTTAATATCCAAGAAAACAAAAGGAAAAGAAATGAATGATCAATCACTATTTCCTTTTGTTTTCTCTCTTCGTTCTGCGGGACTACATGGATTGGCATTGGGGGTGGCAGTGTTCTTGTACACGACGGGGTTGCAAAACGTGATAGAGGCGTCTGAGGAGGAGGAGTTCGCCTATTGCAAGCAGACCAACGTGGAGGACGTGCAGTTCGTGGGACCCACCATCGTGGAGCTGATGAAGGTCGGTGTCCACTACTTCTACTGCAGCATTGGCCTGCATTGCGAGGGCGGTCAGAAGCTCCACGTCAACGTCACCGATGAAGCCACCGCGTGATCTGCGATCGTAACTCGTGCTGAGTGTAGCACGAAGATTTGAATTATAGAATTCTTCATTTTTGCCTTAGAAACAATAGTGATATTGAGAACAATAGTGATATTGAGGACTGGACCGATATGTATATCGGTACCGAAATTTATAAAAACACTAAGACTAAGACTATAAAAAAAAAATTTTTGAATGAATGGGAATGAATCAAAATTATTCTACCATATCAAATCTAGAACCTTGGTTCTTCCCAGAATTTGTGTTACCTTTTAATGCATATTATAC